ATCACACATTACAAAAGTGGAGTAGGTACATGAACGATTCCCTGGGAAACGAATAACGATCTCATAGCGACGACAACTAACATGAACACTTCGTATGAAAAATTAAAACAGCCAAATAGATAACTCTGGGTACGAAAGACTTATCTGGAGGATTGAGCTGTTTCCAAATAGTCCTTAAATTTCTGGCCTGCGGGTCCTAGTCGGTGTGTAGCCCACCTAAGCACGATCGGTGTTTAGCGCTTGGTAACCACCCTATGTCTGAAATAGAGCTGCGTGGGCTCAATATTTTTAACTGCTTCCGGGAACAGTGCGCTAAATCGGTCAACATGGACTCGATGGACTCGACAGTCATTGCCATGTTTCCATACCAAATAATGAGGGAGATGTCAGCGGCCAGTATTGCCCTGAGCACTAAAGCTAACCTGTACGTTAGGAGGGCATTGATGTCTGGGTTCATATTGAGTGATAAAATAAGTTAACTTGGAGTGTGAGGTGGGTTCTTCTTGTTATTATATTTTCAAAACTAGTGTCAACCGAAGGAATCAGTAATTTGTTAGAAGAACTGAATGAATACTGCTTGATCGGACTTGACCCGGTAAAATTTACGCACGGCCCCATCCTACATTATACATTCAGTTCTTGGAAAGAGAAAACAATGACAAAAACAATACATTGCCATTGGGAAGACAGATTTGTATTATATAGAGGGTCTTAATTTATGATAGAAGTCTGTTTAAAAAACGTCCGATTCAGCTTAAATTCATATCGCTTTTGGTTTGAGCATGTTTTGATGGAGTTAATTGTTGAAGTGCTACAAATACATTGTAGTGAATTACATGTTTTCATCCATTCAGTGAAGATCTGATTTTACAAACCCTTTCACTCCCAGATCAAATTATAATTCTCGTTATAATGTTAGTTCAGAGAATTTAGCATTGGATCAACTAATTATCCCCAAATTCATAATTTTCTTTATTCTTGTCACTTATCTGGTTGATATTGTATTGATATTGTAAGGAGAAATTCTGTCTTGGTCACTCATGGGAGTTGAAGGGCTAATCCCTCAGTTTACTTGAGGATGAAGTGGCCTTTTCAAGAGAAAATGTAAAAAGTGAAAAAGAAGTTTTGGATATACACTGGTAATGAGGTAGAAGAAGTTGACATTGTCAGAGCTTGAAAGAGTTGAAGAGTTTTGACTGATAACACTTCCTTTTTAAATTCATTGAATCTCTTCAAGTGAAACTATCTACGAATGAAGAGATTGAGGCAAACCATGTTCTAAACTTGCAACCAAGCCAAAGTTTAAAGTGCTCATCTATGAACTGCGTCAAGACTCCATGTATGGATATGAAAACAATAGGAATTCCCCCGTGTACCGGTACACCAGGACAGCCCCCAAAAATGCAAGTCATGCTTATTATTTTGTGCTGATTTAACAAACTGGGAACAGTTTTTGCCTCCAAGCAGTCCATGTGATTGGATTTTGTCACAATTATTTGTAAGAGAATCGTGTCATACCTACAGCAGTTTTATAAAAATCATGGACAACTGGAAAAATATGACAGCATTCTGAGATAAGTTAAAAAAAACTTGACAGCAGTTCGTAGCCAGAATAATTTTTGAATAATTGAACCATTTTATCATTTGACCATCCTTTCTTTCTCTTTCTACCTCTCTTCTTCCATTCTGCCTCCTGCTGAGGGCCATACACTGGACCATGCACCATTTACTGGTCTTTGTTTGCACCTTCACCTATGGCCCTTGTGCGCCTTTCTTTTATGTTTTTCACTAAAGCATGCACCAGGCCCCACCAGGCCTCGATATATGTTTCACCCTGTCCTCCCTTCAGGTGTCCAATCAGTGTATGGCATTAGTTGGTGACAACTGCCTGGTACCTACCATAGATGAACCAGGTCTTGGCTACATGCCGAAATCTTCAAGTGATCATTATGTCTCGGATGTTTTCTATAAGGTCGGTACCAAGCATGAACTCCATTGCAACAAAACTTAGTTGAAGACAGTTTATTTTTTCTGTTTGTTTATTTATTTGTGTTCTATTTCCAGACTACTGACTTGTACAGTAATGAAGTGACTCTTTGGCTTGCCCAATGCCTATAGAATATCTGTTAGTTCAGGTAGGTACATTTTACTTTTTTGTATACTTTTGTTTCTGAACTGTTTTCATCTATTTGGCATACTATTGAATGAATAACATGAGTTACTTAAAAAGCACTTAAACATGTAAGGAAGCATAATGTGACATTTTTTTTGTTAGTTTCATAGTTTAGATCTTTTTGTTTGTGTGTTTATTCTATTTTGTTGTTTGTCTTTGTTGGTATGTTTAAGATGAGTAGCACAGTCACGCCGCCATTTTGGACTCAAGTGCCTTTGCTAACGAATATCTTCGGGAAGGTTTAACCTCTAAATCTCACACTTTCCACAATATAAGCTTAGTTATCCTACTTCATTTTGGTGTAAAGAAAACAAGGTTTGCGACAAAGTGAAAATTGTAAAAAATAAATATTTCCTGAAAATGCGTGAATTTCTGGGTGTAACGCGTAACATGAAATGTATTAGACGGAAGAAAAAAAATGAAATATCTCAATATAGAACGCACATGGGGCCACTATTTTTTGGCCGTTAGTAGTTTATGACAAAAGCAACAGGCAGTGTGATTTGCAACAGGAATGGTTTATTCTAACGCAAGTTATAAACGTCTGTTTTTATCACTGAACAATGTAACGCTCGCAGCTATTAAAACAACCATAGTGTGCAAAACTAGCAATAATGATAATTTCGACTGTGTAAGCAACAAACTAATAACAAAAATGTAATGGGCATACATCATAATATTTACGAACCAACGCTGAAGTTGAATCGTCAAGTAGAATGTTTTCCAGATCAAAATAAAACGCGCAGAAACACATTTCGTAACGGCCATATTGAGCTTAATTCCATCACATATCCACCAGTAGATCCGTTGTCAGACGCGATTCTTGTTAAGTTGAGTAAACAAGCTCACCTCTCCTGGAATGGGCTTGTAATAAGCTAAATTTACAGAACGTTTCAACCCATTTCGTTAGATCTAACGCTAGAAATTTACGTTTGGTCGACGCAGAAACAATTTCCGCCATTGTTTCCGTGTTCATGAACCGTAACGAAGGAAAGTGACGAAGGAATATGGCGAAAAACATCACCAAAACTTTCACGAAATCCGCTCCTTCGCAGCTTCTCTTTGAAAGCACATGGTTTGTTTACACAGACAATAACATGGGAGTCCATACAGAGTTTGCAGGGGCAGATTATTGCATAACAGTGAAATGTTTTACGCGATTTTCAACACTGAGGGAATTCAACTGCAGCAGATGGAAACAAAAGAGTCCAATCTAAATTCAGGTATTTCGCGAAAGAAGGCGGCGCAAGAAAGAAAAGCAGCGGCAAAAAGAGAAAGGGACAAGGCCTATTATCAACAAAACAAGGCAAAAAAGATTGCTCAAGTTAAAGAACGGCGAAAGAAATTGCAAGCCGAGAAATCAATTCGGCCGCACACACGAAGCATTGCCGAAAAAAACAAACGCCAACAAAAAGCAACGGAGCACAGAAAAGCTTCCCGTATCGCAGCACAAGAAAAAAGAGAAAAGACAAGGCAGCAAACAAGAGAAAGAGTTAGAAAATACCGTGAAAAGAAGCGAACAGAAGCACAAGAATTTAATAATAGCGTGGATTCTCCAGGTTTCGTAAACCGGACGTCGAAAAAACGTGCTATAGATAAAGTCAAGAAGACACTCCCTTCCACACCCCGAAAGAAGGCGGAAATTGTCCAAAGCATTGTCAAAAGCCGTTAGTAGTTTATGACAAAAGCAACAGGCAGTATGATTTGCTCATGTTACTGCATCAGTTGCATTGTGAATGATGAGGAGAATTGCACTAACAAGGCATGGCTTGATGAATGGAAGCTGGTGGAGCTAACCAGAGAGGGTGATGTGGCAACCACTCGACAGGCAACTGAAGCACCAATTTTAGACCATGATACTGCTTCCTACATAGCTGACCTGGCCAGCAAGGGAAGTACAGTTGCGATAGCCGCTGAAGATGATCCTGTCTACGAATTCTATCTCCTTCAGGTCACTTCTGATGGAGTTGAAGAACTTGACAGTAATGTCACAGATGACTATCAGTGTCATTATTACAGAGGAGACAGAGTTCTTAAGGGGCACTTTTACATAAGGGAGAACATTCATGACATGACCTTCACAATTGACGAAAAACAGAAAGCGTTTGTACATGCTGCTACTGTCCATCACATTTGCGGTGACCTACCAGTCAGAAAGAGAGGACGAAAGTCTATTTACAAACTCCCTTTAAAAGAAAATGAGGAAGTCATTGCTTCAATGTGAACTAATGATTACAAAACCTCTTTTTTTCCATTTTTACATTGATTTTCTTAAGATTTTATGAAAAACCAAAAATGTGCCACGCCCACAAGGGATTGTGGGTAATACCAAAATTAGTGTTATTAATGCAAAATAATAAAAATATTTACAGATATTGATTACAATGTACATTTTGATCAAAATTAAAGTCAAAAAGTGATAAAAAGTGAAAAAATAAAAAAATAGTTATTTTTGAACTATGTTACAGCAAATGGCTATGTGATTGTGCTACTCATCTTAATCCTCTTTTTCTTTTTTAATCTGTGTTTTGTTTTTCCTCTTGGTGCTGACTGCTTTTCCTGTAGAACCTCAGTTTACTTTCTCCAACCAAAGTCAGGGAGAACCTTTCCCGCTAGAGAACTGCTCAAGTATGGGAGAAGGTCAGGGAAAAACATTAAAAGCAGTTTTGATACTGCAAAGGTATCCCACATGTGGTTAAAGTTATGAAAACCCAGAGAATATGGTCTGACATTTTAACTGTTAAGTGCTAATGGGTGAGGAGATATGGAGAGGTTTCCATCAAAGCCAGTCATTGGTGGTCTACTGCCACATATAAGATCTCTGCAGTCTGTTTAGCCTGTCTATGAGTTTCACCTTAAAGCCTCTGTGTGTAGTTTCATAATAAAGGTATTTTTCTACTGTTGTTTGTTATATGAGGTAAAAATTCTTTGTAGCCCTTTACTTTGGTGCAATTTGTGTAATTCTGTGTTTTTTTCTTTTCCCTTGTGTGCAGGATTTTCACCCTTTAGTGAGATACTTAAACCAGTTCCCTCCCGGTGAATTCCTACCTGCTATGTCTAATTGTCACCTCCTAGTTTTTCTGACAACTTCCGACATGCTTCCTTTAGAGGTAATGTTCATGTGTTGACTTCGAGCCTGTGATGAGATCACAGCTAATAAATTGCAAAGCGACACTTTGCAACCAAAATCTGGTTTCAGCGCCAAATTGATGAACAGCAAAGAAAGGCTTTTAATTGTCTTAAAAAAAACCCCAGGGCTGGGTTGTTAGTGTGAAATCAGAAATTGGATATCAGATCTGAAAGCTTTTAAAGAAAATTTGGTTGAATTTCTTTTTTTCTAGAATATTATTATTTGATGCTGTACAAAGAACACAGAAAATTATTCCAAAAGGCTTTTGAACTAAGGAATAAAGAAATCCAGATTGCAATTTAACCTTGGGTTAGTGCTAATTGGCCTTCGAACAACTGGGCCCAGAACCATAGCAACTGTAAAAGGCAAGTGGAACATACAGAGGCAACGTGATAAGCCAGTATGAACTGGCGTGATGAACAAAGTGACAAGCTCTAAGCATGAGGAGGATGTGGCTGTAAACTTGATCAGAGGATTTTGACCACTCACAATGTAGCTGAACCCTTTACACCCTAACATCAGTATGCATATTCTCCATACTGTTCTGTAAACATTTCCTAAGATGCCAACATGGAGAATTTGTCCAACAATCAGGAGCTTCTTAAGTCGGTGATCAGCTCCTTCATTCTCCTGACCTTAATGTTTGATTCAGGCGTGATATGGTAAGGAGAAATTAGATGCCAGTCACTCTCAGGGGTTCAAGGGTAAAAAAGCCTGAATCAATCTGTAGCTTGTACAACAAAGGGAAAAATCGGCCAGGCTGGATTCTATTACTTCTTCTCGCACTTAATGCACGTTGAGGTTTTCATGTCTCACTTTTGTTGATTATTTGTGTTGTGGCAGGATCACTTAGGAGATCTGTGTATGGCGATCAGAAACAAAGATGCTGAATTGGCTCGGCGCTGGAGTAAAAGTGAACAGTGGTGCACAGTGATACAGCTTATGCAAGCTTCAAGGGGTAAAATGGTTCCTACAATAACTTTTTTTCTTTCCCATTATTTTCTGTCCCTCTCGTTTTTTTTTTGTTTTTTTGTTTTTTGTTTTTTTTTGTAGTAATGTTTTGTTTATTAAATTCACTTAACCTCTGGAGAGGATCCATAGGCTGGTGTTGATTGGTTAAGGATTTTTTTTTTACTAGTTTAACAACGCAGTACAGTCCTTTTTTTTTTTAAGGAAAAATAAAATTCCGTATCGGTATTTTCTTTTCCTTTTACAAATTAAGATATCTTATCAGGAATCTATGCTTAGGATTAAAATATTCTCTACCCTGCCCTCTCACCAGAGCCACGAGGATCAGGGGACGGCTTTTTGAGAAGTTCCGCTAAGAACTTTTATATTTTATCGCCAGCGGAATTGCAAATGACGCCGTTGAAAATGCATCCCTACTTCTCTACACCATATTTAAGTGAAAAGTAATTTCTGATACCAGGAGGCAAAACAGCACATGCTGAAACCGATGGAGATATTTCAGATGTTGATCTACTGGTGTGGTGCTTTCTACAGTGAATGAAAGGGTGTGACAGAGATGTTTTGTGGATGCAAATAAAGCAGTCGTCGTTTCTGTGATTTGCAAATGTGTGTATTTATTGGATTATGCGCATGATCACAAGCTGTACTTACAATCTAGAACATAAAGAAAGCGACAAAACTTTTGAGTCTGTAAAACATGTTTCGACAGAAACTTCTGTCATCTTCAGTTAATTACTGTACAAAGCGTTGGAAGTTGAATGATGTAGTAAGTAGAACAAAGCTACTGAAGCTGACATAAGTTTCTGTCGAAACATGTTTTACAGACTCAAAAGTTTTGTCGCTTTCTTTAAATTCTTGACTTTCCTGCCAATATCAAAATCTAGAACGTGTTTTACAATAGAGCATTTAAAGCCGGATTATCAAGTCCTTTGAACAATATAGATGAAGGTGTGGTCTTTCGTATTTTATCGTTTTTTGCTTCGTGAAAAAAACCCACGAAATCGAATTTCTTTAAATAGGAGGTAGTTCAGATCTCGGTTTCATAAATGTTAGCACACAAACGTTTTTTCGACTTGAGTAGAAAAATGAAATTGAGAACAGAATAGAATAACTATCACTGCACCTGACATGGATAAATTATGATTAAAACGAATTTTTTGGTGATACCAAGAATTCATAACTAAAGTTATCCCACTCGCCCGTCTCCAATTAATTTTTTAAAGGGATGTGCTCCGACGAAAGGAATATTGGAACATAATAAAGATAAAAAAAAAGGAAAAAGCGCCTCACCTTAGCCAAGGCAAGCTGGAATAGGTCCGGTCTCGGGCTATCTCCGGTCTCGGGCTATCTCCGGTCTCGGGCTATCTCCGGTCTCGGGCTATCTTGGGTCTCGTTATCAGTGCCGATCCATAAAATTAATGGAGCATATACTCCACCTCAAGGGTGTTCTAATTTGCTCTAATTCCCCCTTCCACTGTGTTGCCCAGACAGGAAACTTGGAAACGAATTTGCTTTACGATATGGCATAAAAAAAAACAATGATCTGGTCTATCTTGGGAGTGACCATTGGCTTCAAAAGATTCAAGATTATGCGGTCTTACGCAAGGGTGAGCGAGGAAAGGAGTGGATTGTTTTTTCGAACTGCTTTTTTCGCGGCACTTTCGCTCCGCGCGTCCGCCTCACGCTTTCTTCCGCCTGTTCTACAGTCTACGTCATCTTACGTCAAAGATATCCATGGTTACTGTAGTTCTAGTCTTGCCATGTCACGCTATCCGACAAATCACGCGACCAAAGCGTTTTGAAAACCATCAGAAGCCAAATTTCACAAAAAACCGTGACAAGTAGAGCTAGCGCTCTGTGATTAATGTGTTCAGTAGAAATATAATCTCCATACAAGCGTTGAGTTGAGACGGAATTGACACTATTGATAGCGCACAACAAGAGGTTAGTGTTTCGAAACTGAAAGTGTGAGCTTATTGAATACCCCTCCTTGAAATTGTCTGCGTCATTTGGTGATGAAATCCGCTCGAATATGAGATTTCATTTTAGGCCACAAATGGACAAACCTTTATCTCAATTAATTTATTTCTATTCTGATGATTTCTGAGACATCGCAGTCTGACTAAGCTAAATGAACACATGTTGTAGGGAGCTGATAACCAAGTGAAAACGTTATGCTTCCATGACCGCACACCAATTGCAAGTGGACCTCCGAGCGAGAGCTTCAAGTCAACCTTTGGAGGTAAGAGGTTGTGGATATTATTCCATATTGAGTTGAGTTTCAGTTTGAGCACTTTCTTTCTGTTAATTACATCTTGCTTGAAACACATCAATATACGACCTCTAGTGAATTTACGCCACGCTATCTTGGGGTCGGCTGTACATGGGCTAAATTAGGCACGAAACTTCAAAAGTACGTTCCTAAAGGTGAAGAAAATCGCTCATAGTCGAACGATCGATTAAATTTTACCAAGTTTGTCGAAATCATTCGACTAAAATCGGGTCATGTGGTTGTGCATCGATTAAAATCGAAGTCCTGATAAAGTCTTGATGCACGACAGATCACTTACAAGCACGACTCGATTAGAAACTAATAACATTAAGATTTGGATCACACAGGAGTGTTAACCAATTCAGTATTTAACGTCTGTGAAAAAATCGCTGTGGTAATTTTTAGCTTATGCCAAGTTAACGGTAGTCTCATCTTAGCTTCGTGCGTAGAATCTCCACAGCACCTCGTGCTATTTTGTATTCCCCGTTCATGCTATTTTGTGCTTCCCTTGTTTATCTGCTGCCACTTCGATATCGTGAGTCTCTACCCACATCATATATGGAAATCGAATTGTGAAAAAAGTTTCATGTGCACAATTTATCTCCTGAATGTAAAAGGATAGTTGTCGTGAGGACATAAAACTTATCGGTGAAGAACATTAAACCAGTATGTTGTGTCTTTATTCTAGGGCCTCTTCTGTCAGATTATTTGATGATTTTAGTTGGTTACCTTTTTACGAGGAGGCTAAAATTTCCCAACGTCTAATTGCATTTAAGAGACTATGGGGAGAACCGCTTGCCTATATTACTCGCCTTTTAACACGTAAAAGTGATCTTCTCTCTCGTAACACTTGGTATGCAAACTATAACTTAGTATGCCGAAAGTTTAGATGGCGGTAAAACGTTCAATGTTACCACATGTCAACCATGGAACAGTTTCCTTATCACCTTACGACAAAAGACATCAGTACAAAGTTTTAAAAAGGCAATTTTTCTAGGAAACCAACCGAGTTTGAATCATTTTATAGTTTAACAGGTTCCTTTTTACAGTTTCCTGACTCTTTTATTTAATCCTTGAGATCTACTTTATTTTAGGTTTGATCATAGGATTTTTTGTTTCATTTTTTTAACTGCTCTTCGATTTCTATAATAATGTAATTATTTTTACTCATCAATATCTATATTTGCATAAGTATTATCACGTTTATTGTACAAGGGCCACAAGTTTATATGCCTTTTGGCTACTAAGTGCTACTCTCTTCAAATAAAGAGTTTACTTGCTTACTTACTCACTTACTTTGATGTTTATCAATGTCATCGATAGGAGTTTTTGCAAAAAATCGGCTTCGGTTAACAATTATGTCTCAAGATAATAACCTACGAATTCAGTAATTTCCTATAAAAATCAGTTCATCATACTGAAATATTATCGAAGACTAAAAACGCTCTGCTCTGACATAGAGTAAACATATGATTCGATAGAGTTTATTTTAAGAATTTTGCTACAGGTTAAACAACACTGAAGTGTAAAGGAGTATGATCATATAGATTGTTTTGGTGGAATTTTGAATCTGAGGAAATTCTTTTTTCCCGGATGCGATCAACCTTTATCTTCTCCTTACATTATTTCAATATTCAAATACATTGTAAAACACGCTGGTGATTGGAGTTAGGAGGCTATCAGCCAAAAGGCCGGAATTCTGCCCTGGATTCTTTTAATTTACATGCATGGAAAGTGTCTGACCGGCTAGAAGGGAGAAGTTTTTCTCGGATCTCTGTAAGAAAAGGCCAATTTGATTTTCACACTACGTGATTCATATCTTCACGATCACGGCCATATGTCACGCTTTTTTTAAGTCACGCAAACGCAGATTTGGAGAGCATTTGCATGCAATTTTAATAAAGCAATCAGTTTTCCAGAGGGTATTTAAAACCAGTTTAATGTAATACTTTTGCTGGCTTTGAGATGTAACGGACATTTTTGGAAGTGTGGATAAAAAGTTGATATATTAAAATCTAACATCAAACTTACTGAAAATTTTGTCTGGGTCAATTGATTTTTTCAATCGGATATATTATTCATTCTACCAGTGCTGAGCCAGGGAGTCTGACGAACAAGCAGCAACCAAATTTCTTGGTTAAAGAGTCATTGACCTTTGCTCAATTAACGATCCAGTATTTCTTCATGGCCACCGCTGCAGCACCTTCGTTTCATTCGACAAAAGAGACAACCAATTACGCCCGCTTATGCAGGCTTCTAGTGGGTGTTAGTGCACATATCTTGAGAGAGACATTTGACAAAAGGCGTCCAACAGGAGACCTGCACACAGTTTTGTCAGATCCTCCAGTTCATTCAGTCTTAAAATCACTTCGAAAGAAAAGAATAGTCAACCCTTCACAATGGGACAAACTGTACCCCGCCATCAAGTCTTCAGTTTCATCAAAGAATTTCGATATCACGTTACTGATGGTCCTGCTGAGGAACATTTGTGGTCTTGTTCCTCCGGCTACCGGCTGGGATACACTTCCTCCTGCAGCAGACACAACCCTTGAGGCAGATATCGTTCGTATCAAGTGCTACAGAAACACAGTTTATGGTCATGCCAGCGAGGCCTCAGTTGATGACGCAACATTCAATCAATACTGGCAGGACATCCAGGATGCATTGGTGAGACTAGGAGGAGCTGGTTACCAAAGTGCTATTGATGATCTGAAAAAGGAATGCATGGACCCTGATTTCGAAGAACACTATAAAGAGCTTCTTAAACAGTGGGTAGTGGATGAAGTCAGCATCAAAGAAAGATTGGATGAAATGACAGAGCTATTAAAGGAAGCAATCACTAGTCCTACAAAAAAGTTTAAAGCAGGAGACAAAGGTATTGTGTATTAACGGTAAAATCTGTACACGGCCTTTCGATCTTTCTTGAGAAAAGAAGAAGATTGAAGGGCCTCTCATCAGAGGGTAATAAGCAATTTACCTTTGAAAATAGCTCAAACTCGGAAAAATATTTTCTACTGGAACTGACCCCTTCCTCTTGGACCCAAAATTGGAAAAAGACCAGGTGTTGTCTTTTCCATGCTTTTTTCGGGTGATGAGCAAGTAAAATTTAATTTTTTTGTTCCTCATGCGGGAAGTAAAGAGAATTAATCGTTGAAACAGATTCACTACGAAGGTGATTTGCACCAAAAAACTGCAGTTAGGTCTTACAGTATTTACCTGGTTGGGTTCGTCGAAAGAAAGAGATGGAAAAAAACTAAAATTCTTAATGAACTGGAGATGACAGGACGCTTTCTCTCCCCTAAGTGTACTTAGGCCATTCTTAATCTCCAGCCGTAAAAACAAAAACCATGTGTTTTCTGAGTCAAAGTTAGTTTCTCCCGTACCACAAATTCCTGGATCCGCTCCCGAAAAGGGTCGGTTAGTGTTGGTAATCACATGATTTCGAGTACAATTTACGATAAAACAGCACGAGTAAATATTTGAAATGCGAACAAATTGCACGAGCCTGTAGGGCGAGTACAATTTGTAGTTATTGAAAAATTAACAAATGCTGATTTATTCCGAATTGCATCAGAAAAATCATGCGATTACTTGTTAATAATGTACCACCCAAATATGACTCTGTTTTCCTCTCTACTCGTTTTTTTTTTTTTTTCGTGTCATGGCTCACTGGTTCGGCCGCTTCCCCTTGCCTTGTGCTGGAGTAGTCGAGGTTTTCCCAAGAATTTGGTCCGAGCTTTTAAACTCACCGTCACGAACAATCGAGTTTTTGTACTCTTCGTCAATTAGGTATCGGTCGACAACAATAATCAGAACACGAAAGATATCACGCTCTTTATCTTCCCCGTCTTTCTTACGAACTGATGCGTAAAATTCCCCGAGAAGTTTGTTCAGCGTCCCCGATTCATAGTTTCCAACGCCCAAAACTTTCAGACTTTTGGCCAGTTGTTTGTGCTTTGTTTTGTATTTTTATTTTTGGCATTCTCCATAAAACTCTGAATTTAAAAGGTTGTTACCTTCTCCTAACCTCTCCGCCATTTTGTTTTTAGTTGCGCTTTCGTGACTCTCTTGGCAATCAAATTATTTTCATCTTTCTACAATCATTTTTAACCTTTTGCCCTCAATCTCAACTTTGCGCACTCTTTGGGATTAATTGACGTGTTCTCAGCCAATAAGCGTTCTGAAATGTTTG